CCGTTTTCATCCATCTTGTTCCGGAAGACCCACTTTGTCCCAATGACATGTTGATGAGTAGGTCTGGGAACAAGTTTCCAGACATCATTTCTGGAAAACTGGTTGAGTTCTTCTTGCATTGCATTGATCCAATCAGAATCAGCTAGAGCTTCTTCAATATTCTTTGGTTCTACTTGTGAGATGAAACAAGCAAGCATAGTTTCTAGATTTTGCTGAGCACTTCTTCTGCGAACGCCAGATTGAATATCTCCGATGATCTGTTGAGGAGGATGATCCCTTAACCAACGAAGATTGTGTTGATTGGGATTGATTGGTTGATTTAGTTCAGCTTCTAGTTGAAGAACAGAAGTTGTTGGTGTTTCCAGATGGATTGGCACTGGGTCGCCATTTCCGGAATTGTCGCCGTTTGAGAGATCCGGAATATTGGAAGGCTGGCCAAGATTTCCGGAGGGCTCAGCACTGTTTGAATCCGGATTTCTCTGTGTAGTCTTCAGAGGCAGACTTCTGAATGGAATGAACTCCGTGGGCTTCATTCTATCTCCTTCATTGACTTCTTCATCCTTGTCTGATAGATCCAGTACCTCATGATCATGCTTTGATGGCTTTTCAACCACATGTTTTTCATCAAAAATGACATGTATTGACTCTTCAGTGATCATGGTTCTTTTGTTGAAAACTCTGAATGCCTTGCTCAATATAAAGTATCCAAGGAAGATGGCTTCATCTGATTTCTCATCAAAAGTGTTCAGATGATTCTTCCCGTTGTTTAACACAAATCACTTACTGCCAAAAATATGGAAATATGATATATTAGGCTTTCTCCCGTTCCATAGTTCATAGGAATTTTTGTTGTGCCTTTTATAAATCATACTCCTATTTTGAGTATAGCAAGCCGTGTTAACAGCTTCAGCCCAGAACCTCTTTGGTAAGGAAGCTTCTGCTAGCATTGTTCTCACTGCTTCCTTTAGGGTTCTGTTCCTTCTTTCCACTACACCATTCTGTTGAGGCGTCCTTGCTGCGGATGTCTGATGAAGAATTTCGTTTTCTTCACGATAATGAATGATGATTTCATTCAGGAATTCTGTGCCTTTGTCAGATCTGATCTTCTGAATGGTCTGACTTGCTTGGTTTTGAATCAGCTTCATGCAGTTGGTGAGTTTCCCTTGAGTCTCCTTCTTGCTGTTGAGGAAGATTGTCCACGTGTATCTTGAGTAATCATCAACTACCACCAGGACATATTTCTTTCCACTTAGACTTATTGGTGTAACAGGGCCAAATAGGTCCATGTGGATAAGACTTAATATCCTTGTAGTTGAGGGTGCCGGTTTTGCCTTGAAAGTAGATTTGACTTGCTTTCCTTTCTGGTACGCATCACAAATGCTTTCCTTCTTGAATACAGCTTTGGGAAGGCCTTCTACTAACCCTTCTTTGGATAGCTTGTTGAGAGTTTTGAAGTTGAGATGACTCACCCTCTTATGCCAAAGCCATAGAAGGTTAGTGTCACCTTTGCTGATTAGACATGCTTCCTTGACATCGTTCCATATCACTTCATAGATGTTTCTGATTCTCTTCCTAGTGAGAATGACTTCATTTGTGGAGATGTTCTTGAGAGATTCCATGTCCTTGCAGAATTCCAAGGAGTAACCTTTATCACAAAACTGACTTGTGCTAAGAAGGTTGTAATTGAGCCCTTCAACATAAGATACAACTTGGATGGTTAGTCCCTTGTACACAAGATTTCCTAGTCCTTTAGTAAGGCCAAAATCGTTGCTTCCTCCAAAAGTAATTCTTGGACCATCATAGGGAATTAGATTGCTCAAAAGGCTCGCATCACCCGTCATGTGTCTTGAGCAACCACTGTCTAAGTACCAGACACCTGGGTACTTAGCGGCTTCCTGCATTAGGAGGAGGAAGATTTTGGTACCCATTTCAGTTTGGGTCCGGAATGGTTAATGGTGTTTGTCCCTACATCAAGTTTAAAGTGGCAGGGAATTTTCCTTGCAGCTCTAAACTTGTTGGGATTGTAATCATAGTTGTAGGCATAAAACTTCATACGTGCAGGAGGTGCAATTTCCTGTTTCCTCCTATCAAACCTAGGTTGATAAGACCTATAGTTTTGTCTAGGTTGTGCATAGTGTGACCTGTGTTGGTTATAAGCATACTTAAGTGGTACAAATTGTTTCTGGGGTGGAGGATGACTATATCTTGGCATAGTTCTCCACTCAGAATTTCTTGGAAAACTCCTATCTACCCCATAATGAGTATAGCCTCGTGTATATTGGTTAGAAGGTTTTCTTCTGAAATTGTTTCCTTTTTGAGGTCTGTCGAGCTTCCTATAGTTCTTAGGAGGGACTACCTTTTTGGGAACTTCTGTTGGTTTCTCCTTTTCCTTCCCTTTCTGCTTATTAGGTTTGACAGTAGGTTTAAGAGGGATGAAAGTTGTCTTCCCTTTCCTTTTGGAACAAGAGGGGTCAAAACCAAGTCCTTTGCGACCCTTATGTTTGGTCGTTTCAAGCAACTTGCTCACTGCTTCTTTGGACTTGAGTATCCCTAGCTCTTTGTTAAGGGATTTCACCTTTTCAGAGAGAGATTCATTTTCAGTCTTGAGTTGAGTGATCTCATTCAGTTGACTTTTCCGACTTTCAGTCAACTTGAGATTCTCTTCACTCAATAGTTTGTTCTCTTCTGTTAAGGATGAGTGTTTGAGATTTATCTCCTCAAAGTCTTTCATCATCTTTTTGAACTGGTCAAAAAGATTTTCAGAGGT